ACTACTTCGACTTCATGAAAAATAAGCTAATATGAAATCTTACAAGCACATATAGACAGATATTTAATTTATTGCTGCTAGCTGCCTTTATCGGTCCACAGAATCTGCAGTTATTCAAACTAAAAAATTTAAGTTAATTTTAGCACCATACCAAAAGTAACATTAGGAAAGTCCGTTTGAAAGAGTGATTGGAGAGAAAGAAGGACGCGAACTTTGTCCTCTTAATTATCCAACTTTATCACCTCAATCAGTGGTGTCCAGCCTGCGGTATGTGTACTCGTGGAGGTACGTGACGGCTTAATCAGGGGTACGGCAAAACTTTATTAGCAACAGTGGAAAGTATTAAAGAGTTATAAATAATGCTGAGAGAAAAACGAAATATTTATGTAAAGTTTATATTTGTCACAAAGTAAAAGAGAAAATAATTTTCTTTTCAGTCTTAAAATAGTTCCGAATGATTTATCCTTGACGGTCATCTTAACAAAACAAAACAAAACAGGAAAAAAAAACTGTTTATAAATTCTGAACTTGTAGCAAACAGTTACCGTAGTAAACATGATGCTATTTCTGATTTAAGATTTTATCTTTTCAAATTTGACCCCGATTTCAAAATTTCGAACTCAGGAAAGATGGTTCAATAGTGAGACGTGAAAAATAATTCAAGATTACGTTATAAATACTGTTTTTAATGTTTTTTATTGATTTTTATGATTTTTATGATATAATATTATTAATTTTGTGTTCAAGGGTGAAACAGCTATTAAAATTTTCTTACATATCGACTCTTAAATTTTATGTGAAAGAAGTTACTCTTTACTTTAAACGTAATACAGGTTTAATAGCTTACTATGACATAACACTATTTCAAGAATACTTAAGGTTTTTAGTATGGTTTTAGACCTCATTAATAGTCAATAAATTCAATAATTCACACATTTTCACGTTTTCTATTGACAAAAGTGCATATACAAAATAATTCCAGTACACAAAACAGTGTTGACTTGCGTTATTACTGTGCTTATCTTATATTAGAAGAAGCAAAGAGAAAGAAATGTCTGAGGAGTGGTCTGACCCAACTGATCAAGGTCAAAGAAAGGCTTCAACTTGATCAACTGGGATCAAGGTTCCCTCCTTTCCTTCTTCAACGTAAAAGCATGAACGACTATTTTCCTATCCGCTTGCTGTCTTTACTGTATATGGAATGCAGAGGGAAAAAGTGAATGTTCATTGTTTAGCATATATTATATCACAATAAAGCAAAGACGAGTTTTCTGCTCCAATGTTTACCTTTAATTTAATGTATTATACGTGTGTATCATGTATACATTAATATTTAACAATTTTTTTCATTATGTACAATGAAATTTCTGATTAATTTCATGAGCTGATTTATTTTGTTATCTTTACTGCTCATTTTTGTTGGAAATTTGGGTTATGTCGTAAAATAAAGCAATAAAATAATTGACCCATTTTCGTTTAATCTTTATTTAATACTATCTATTTCTTATTTAATTTCGTTTAATCTTATTGCCAAGTCTCAAAATGTATATAGAACTTTAAAGCTGGATTTATTATATACTTTTAAATCTCCTATACTCATTCACATATAATTCATACAATACAGAGTTTCACGCTTTTGTTTATTTCATTTGTTAGAGAATCGGGCTTACTAGTTTCGAAATAAATGATGTAAAGATAAGTCTTTGTTTGATAATATTTTTTCTGATATAATTCATTACAGTCGGTAAATTTTATGATAACAGTAGTAAGTTATATTGCTGGAATATTGGAAGGGAGAAGAGGTTATAGTCTTCGAAGCAGACCTTATTAAGGGGTACGCGAGAGAAAAAATGGCTAGGAACCGGTGCTATAGATCATAATTAGAATTAAGCAAGGTAGGTACCTTGGCTCAATAAAACAGTCCATTACCCAGTAAAGATAGACAAAATTTAACAAAACTTATTCTGAAGAATTTCGCCATAGCATCAGCAATGAAAGTGTGACTAACATTGTTATGTGAAGACACATAACAATACAAATTTAGTATTTTACCGTTTGTGACAGCTAAATTAGTTAAAAATAACTCGCATAGTTTAAGTTGATTTTATATCAGATAAAAGTGGTGTCCATGATTTATAATTGATTTGAAGTCAAAAAGTGAATTGATCTTACTAGTCAAAAAGTGAATTGATTTAAGTACTTATACATATATATATATTTCTATTTAAATTTAGTATGAAAATAAATTTGTATTAGTCTCAAGTTTTGTTTTGAAAAAAGAAATTAAAATGGAACTTTGATAAGTATTAAAAGCAAGAATCTGAAAAGAAATGCAGAAAGTAACATAGTAAAAGTTACAATGGTAAAAAATTAAAATAAAAAGGAATAAAAAGTGAAAAACATATTATTACTTTTAAGGAAAAAAAAGAAGCAGAAATATATTAATAAATTACATTTTCTTTCTTAAATATTTAAAGCACGAAAAGGTTAAATATAGAACATAAAGGTGGCAGAACATAAAACTGAAAACAAAATTTATATTTTTTAAATAAAAATAAAGTAGAAAAAATTGTGAAAAATAAGAATTTATTTTAAATAAAAGCATTAGAAACGTAACACTATTAAATATTCAAAACAAAATAAATGTTAAGCTTTTATATGTAAAAATAAGTTCACTGATTCTTGATTACGTTAGAAATGATAAGAAACTTCTGGAGCAAAATGGAAGCGATATTTCTGAGGTTATTTTAAGGCTTAAATTTAATTGACAATTGTACTTTAAATATGTATAACTAAAAATTCAATAAAATTTCATTAAAAGCTAGAAGTATCTTTCGTTTTTATTTCTATTCCTTAGAGCAGGGGTTCCCAACCGGTGGTACGCGTACCACTGGTGGTATGCAAAAGAAAATAAGTGGTACGCAAAGGAGCAAAATATTTTTATCTGTTAAATTCCAAAATTAAAACACCAACATACTGATTGATTTTTTTCTCCAGCACTTGTAAATTGATGCGATCTGAGCTTCGTTCAAGAGTGGTGGTGGTAGTAGTACATTGTAGTGGTGGTACTGAAGTTTTCAATTTTTGTTTAGATCGTACGCGTTAGTTTAAGAGAACCGCTGCCTTAGAGGTTTAATTTAATAATATGAAACTAACCTCACTCTAAAAGCATTTTTTTAAATACCTTTGATCCATGCGTTTTCAAATAAGAATAATTATGAACAAAGTGTTACAATTTTTAATTTAATCGTTTTCAGTCTTTCAAATTCAGTTTAATTCATTAGTTAGACAGCTTTAGGTTTGATTGTGGGGAAAACAAATTATGATATGTAAAAAGTCCCTTAATATTACCGGATTCTTCACTACAACAGTATTATAAGCGTCAATGTGTGTAGTAAAGAAGCATCTAACTAGTTCTTAAATGAAATCAAGTTCTCCAGTTGATAAGAATGTAAACTATATCATTGAAAACTATTCATTTTCATGTTTTAATTCCTATATTTGATGAAACCTTTTACCATGTCTTCAGTGCTTGTTTTTCAGAACGCACCAGTACGACTTACCACCTGTAATTTATATCTTTCGATTTCAGCAAAGATATTTTAAACGACTGATATTTATAATCAGAAATTTCTGATTACTGGTAGTATGAAAGACTTAGCAAAACAGAAAAATCTTCTGATAAATCGAGAAATACAGTATCAGAAGAAAAGGTGGTGTGGGGGTGGTGTATTTAATTATGGCAAAGCACACTAGGGCTATCTGCCTATGGGGAGAGATGCCTTCGTGGAGGACTTTCTAAGGCAAACTGGTTCGTATACACGTTACACATGGGGAAAACCACGAAAACGCCCATGCAGCCAGCCCGTTCGCGGGATTCGAACCTCGGATCGAACTACCAGTGTTCAGAGACTTTACCGCTCGGCTGCTGGTGCGCATCAGAAGAAAAGGTCATGAGTTTAATTTGAGAATTTTTTTTCGATAATTAGGAAATTATTTTTGCTTATGTTTTCATATTTCTTAAATACAGTGCTCTGTGATTAAATATTTAATAATTAATTTAGATTTTTAGGTAAATTGGTAGAAAAATTCTTTGTAAAACTTAATATCGCGTTTTGCTCACAGAAAATTATCTAAGATTTTTGATACTGAAATTGAGGGCTTTAGCTAAAATGTATAAACATGAATTATTAAGTAAAAGTGTGACACAAGGGTTTGCTTGAATATGCTTTAAATACAGCAAAGCTTAAATCGGGTGCCTTTTTGTAAAACAAAGAGAATTTTTCTCTAAAAAAACCTACTTTGACACTTCTAATTTTTTTAAATTTAAAGATTTCTGCGGACATCGCCATCTGAAGCATTATAAAAATTTTTCTGGGTATTGTGAAATATAATTTTGTTTTAAATGAAGCTTAGGATAGTTCATGTAAAAAAGAAATGGAATAAAATGTTTTGATTCAGTGTTTGACAATTTGATTTCATTTAAATATTTCCCCGAATTGTTTAATATGCATGCGATAGATGTATAGCAATTGGAATAACTATTAAAGAAAATCATGGTTTAATGAACGTTTTGAAAGGAGATGTTTTAAGTTAAATATCTGCTTCATGAAAGAGAGTGTTTTTGTAAATAAATTATCGTTATTTACGTTATCGCCATAGAAAGTTATTAAAGCTTAACAGAAACGGATTTTAGCAATCAGAAACAAATATTTATAATTTTTGTTTAAAAGCCTATTCGGTTGATGATATGGTTAAAAATGCAAATAAAAATTATAGGTATTATTAATTTTTATTAATTTAAATCTAATTTCTCATCAGTCTACTGTAATAAAACGGCTGAAACCTTTTGAGGGTTATAGTTTGTTAGAAAGCGCTGTGAAAGATACTGTTTTCTAGGTCTAATCCAGGTTTCATGTGCATCAAAAAGGCACACACGTAAAAAAGTCTCAGAGAGTTTTTTTCTTTAGTTTACAACAACATAAAAAAAAGACTCCAAGTAATACAAATATTTTGAATTTATTATCCAAATGGAGCTACATTTTTAACATCTTTATATCAAAATTCATCTTTATACATAATCATTAATATGAACCAACAGCAGCGTGTTTTCATAAAAGGTAGAGTGTACGTAAGTTATCTGGGCTAAAGAAAGAAAAGATAAATCACATCAAATTTTGTTACCTAAAAATACTATTTATATACATTTAAGGAGGCATTTTACACAAACGTTTTGAAGTATGTATTCGATTTTGCTGTTATTATCCCCTTACTTCTTGAAGTTAGTTCTTAAATTAATCAAGTATTTTCAAGTTAGTACATGACTCCGCGAAAATGAACAGACTATGCTTTAATTAATAATTATGTAGAATGTTAGTTTAAAAAAAGAACTCTGCATGATATTACATTTCAGAACGCTTATATTTGTATAATTATAACTTGAGATGTCTGAGTAATTATTTATGTTTAAATAGCAAATGAAAATAATTTAAGGAGTTCTAGTTACCTAATTTCCACTCAATTCAATTTCCTCCACTCGCAGTCAGTTAAATGAAGTGGTTTGAACAATGTTTGACAAAAGTAATAATTTAAAAGACATGAATCACACAGAGCTGTCAAATAACAATGAACATAGTTATTTATTAAATATTTCTGCCTAAATTTATAGCATTAAAAATAGTAAATGTAACACTTAACGAAGATGTCAGAAAAAAAGTCATTTTTATAAATTTCTAGCGGATAGGGAAAGAATAATTTTCAATCACATACAAACATAGAAAATAAAATATTCATTCAATTGAATTTGAAAAAAAAAAAAAAAAAAAAAAAAAAAAAAAAAAACACTTAGTTTTTTTATGCTCGTTTCTTAAAAAATACTACAAAAATAATATTTTGTGAGAATTCATTTTCGTTAATATTACAGCTTTGAATATAGCTGGCACTGAAGAGCCTAATAATTAAGTTAAATTACTTCTTGTGAGTTTGAAGTGAAAAATTACTTCTTGTGAGTTTTAATTAAGTTTTTTCACTAAAGTTTTATAATTTCACTTACTTTTTAAATTCTTTGGATCATGTGCTATTTGTTTACAGATAAAATTTTGATTTGAATTGAACACTGAAATATTTTAGTATTTTATTATTTCACTTACGTATTCATTTCTTTAAATTGAATTCTCTTTATTTAAGGTACAAGATTCTAGCTAGAATTTTCTTTGTTTTTCCTTGCTTTCCTTCCTTGGGGAAGGATCCAGAATTTTTGGGTGAACTATTATAATTCAAATACATTAAAATGGTTCATCGGTTAATTTTGGATATAGAAAAGCAAGGATTTTTGGAGAAGAGAGATTTCAGTGTTCCTCCTCCTGAGGAAGTGGCATTGAGTTGATTGAATTCCTCTTCCATATTGCTCGTTTTTCTTTAAATTTCATTGATTTTTTTGAATTGGGATATAGCTTGTCTGAAGTGTCTTGGTTTTAAGTTTTTTTAAAAAAATTCTTTATTGCATGTATAGGATTATTTGAAATTTATTACTTAAAATTTCTATTTTGGTCTTTGTAAAACATTAGTTCTAAATTTTTTACTTTATGTTTTCATATATATATATATATATGATGTACCAGCTTTTGTCCAGAATAAAAGATTGGTGAAGAATCATAAAATGTAGTCGTAGCTTAAAATATCAGACGATAAGTTTAAAAAACAAGGATTCATTTATTATTCAGGAGAAATAGCAGTTACAAAATCAGATATCCGGAGTAAATAAAAAGAATTACTAATAATTTTTGTATAAAGTTTACTGCATCGTGACATTTAAGAAAAAGCCCCGATATTCCTTTTGCGAGTCTTTTTATAGCCTTTGGAAAGGCGGAGCTTCCAAGAAATGACGTCAGCCAATCCAGTTCGCTTTTAAATACTTCCAGAACATTCTATAACTGTACGTGTAGAAAAGGCGGGAAAAACAACTTGACTACGGGGCTGTGGATTTAATTCCACGTACTTTTAAACAAGAGAACGTCGCCATTTAAAATGATGAAAGAATATACAGTTAGAATTTTAAAAGTGTATTCTTGACTATGGAATTTTATTATTACATATATATATAAATTTTTAAGTAATAAATTTCAAATAATCCTATACATGCAATAAAGAATTTAAAAACAAAACTTAAAACCAAGACACTTCAAACAAGCTATACCATATTAAAAAAATTTTGAATAAAATTTAAAGAAAAAAAGAACAAAGCAGAAGAGGAATTCAATCAACTTCAATGCCACTTCTAATAATTATGTGCATCTCTAAATCAGATGATGGTGGTTCAGTGAGTTCACTAATTTTAACACATTTTCATTTTTGACAATATTTTAATTACTATATACAGAGCGTATTCTTAGGCCGCCGCCTTCAACATGAACAAACTTTATTCTCTTACAACTAAGCGAGCAACAGCGCCCTCTAGCCTTTTTCTTCAAATTACACAACACTCCCCACCTGAACTCGGTGGAGAGTTCATCTTTCATAATATATTCTAGAATATACAATTAATATTTCGACAATAAATCCTGGAGAAATGGTTAAATATAACAAACATGCATACATAATTATAAGCACATAAAATTTTACAAAACATTAAATAATACCTATCAGCAAGGTCAGGAGAATCAAACCTAAAAATACAAAATACAAACATTAGTTAAGTTCCATATTATATAACAATTGTATAGGCCTTTTTAAGGTACCAGTAGGTGTTTTAATTATGCAAGATCTTATTTTACCATCTCTGCCTGGCATTAATTCCAAAATTTTACCTATTGTCCAAAGATTTCTGGGATGTTTGTCGTCATGAATCAAGACAATATCGTTGATTTTAAACTGAGATGCGTTAGAGTGTGGAGGACAAATATTGGCAGATCTCAGATTAAAAAGATAGATCTCTTCATTCAAAGATAGAACGCTTCCAAAAATGATTTAAAATATCTTGATGGTATTTATATCGTTTAATAATTGAATTTCTTGACCCAGTCAAATTATTTGATGTTATTTTATTAGCAGGCAGAGATAGCAATCGTCTACCAACCAGAAAATGAGAGGGTGTTAGTGGAGAAGGTTCATTGGGATCGGTAAACACGTAGGTAATTGGTCTACAATTAATCATTGCCTCGATTTCAATGAGCACTGTTTCAAGCTCTTTCACAGTAAAGGATGATCGACCAATAATTTTTCGCTTAAAGCTGGATTTTATGGTTCGTACCATGCGCTCCCAAGAACCTCCCCACCATGGACCCCTTTCAATAATAAATTTCCAATTTATGCCTCTAGCAAAAAATAATTCTTTCAAAAATCACTCAAAGTTTTGAAAATATGTTTTAGTTCTTTATCAGCTCTTTTAAAAGTCTTGGCATTATCGGAGTACACGGTGGTACACAGTCCTCGGCGAGCTAAAAATCTTCGGAAAGCTAGCAAAAAACTTTCAGTGCTGAGATCAGTTACTATCTCTATATGTAAGGCACGAGTGACCGCACACGTTAACAACAGCATGTAAACTTTACCTTGCCTGTCTTTCGTAAAAAATGGACCGGCGAAGTCCAACCCGGTCACAGCAAATGGAGGCGACTCTTGGATTCTGTCTGGAGGAAGTGGAGCGATATCCTGTACTCCAGGACGTGCACTATATCGTTTGCATATCACACATTTTCTGATGATAGTCTTAACACGCTGTCTTCCCTTAATGATCCAATATTTGTCTCTGATCTGAGTTAGTGTCGAATTAACTCCAGCATGGAATACCCTTTCATGCGAGTCCATAATGACTCACATGAAATCAACTCGGTAAACTTGCATTTTGAGGGTAATAGAATAGGATGTTTTAAATTCTCGTGACAGTCTGCAAGTTGAATGCGAACCTTTCAACCGAAGAATTCCCTCCTCATCAAGCCTTGGATTAAGGGAGTAGATGGAAGAATCGAGAATTGATTTTTTATTTGATAACTTAATTATTTCCGTTTGATACGATTCTCGTTGCGTAATTTTTACCCAATAATGTTCAGCTGCTTTAATCTCAAAAGCACTTAAAGGTCCATTCCCTGTAGACCTTTTCCGAAGCCTCCCAATAAATCTAAATACATAGGCAGTAATTCGAAGTAATTTTCCTAAAGAACTGAATTTTTCTATATGCAAAATTGGGGATTCATTGTTAATTACAGGTGCAGTCAAAATAATACTTTTTCTTAACTCCAACGATTCTGAATTTGGTTTTAATTTCTTTTGCTTTGGAAAGTTTTCAATAGGAAAACGTAACCAGTGTGGCCCATGCCACCACAAATCATTCTTAATTAGTGACCGAGCACTAATTCCTCGAGGTAGTAAATCGGAAGGAATTTGTTTCCCTTCGCAATGGTTCCACAATTTTTTGTTGCATATACTCTGTATTTCTGTAACACGATTGGCGATAAATGGTTTCCAATTATTTGGCGAACCTTTAATCCAAGTAATGGCGATTTCGGAATCACTCCAAAAATAAACATCCTCAATTAAATCACCAAACAATTTTTTCAAATATTTATACATTCGAGCAGCCACGAGTGCTCCCCATTAACTCTAAACGAGGAAGCGTGATTGATCTTAAAGGTGCAACTCTGCAATTTCGACATGATAAAGGAAGTTTTAATTTTAGAATCACTCGTACAATATCTGAAATATGCGATGGCCCCATATGCTTTAGGACTAGCGTCCGAAAATAGGTGAAGGCTTATATTCATTGGATCGTCATCAAAGAAATTTCTGCTGTATCGATATTTCAGTTAAATCATTAAGTTCCTCCCGCCAAATGTTGAATTTGTCCTTAATCTCTGCAGGAAGGACCTCATCCCAGTCAGAACCGGAACACCAGATTTCTTGCATAATAATTTTTGCCCGAAAAACAAAGGGTGCGCAATAAATCCTAAATGGATCGTATATTTGGGGCGATGATTTTGCAAAAGTTTCCTTTTTGTAGCAAAATCGTTTTTCCAGTAGAAAAGTCAATTAAATTTTTTAAATTTAACTTTATATTGTCTTCAATGGAATTCCAAATCATGCCTAAGAAATTCGATTCACTAGTTAATTTGTTATCTGATTCCTTAATCCCATTTGAGACCCATAAATCGTTTAATGCTTTAGAATTAGTTCTTAAATTTTCTGAAATTCATCCCAGCATCCTTAAATATATTAACCGCATCTACAGATAACCGATATGCATCTTCAACCGTTCCTGCTCCCAAATATAGGTCATCGACATAGACAGAAGAATTTAACATTTGGAAACTGTCCGGCATTTTATCTTTATATTTTCGAATGTGATATTTTATAGTGGCGGCCAAAATGAAAGGAGATATAGTCAAACCGAAAGCTACGCGACACATTTGCATAATCTTAAAAGGGAGTCATTATTTTCATTAAACCAAAGAAATTTTAGAAATTTTCTATCACCTTCAGCAATTCCTATCATCAAAAAGGCTTTTTCAACGTCTCCACAAAACGCTATCTTAAACTTACGAAAATTTAACATAATGTCTAGTATATTTGGATTTAGATTAGGTCCCGATTCAAGGCAGTCATTTAACGAATTCGTGTCCTC